ACTGAAATAATTGAGTTTCCTTACCCACTGATATAATTGATTTTCCTTACCCACTGAAATAATCGATTTTCCTTACCCACTGAAATAATTGAGTTTCCTTACCCACTGATATAATTGAGTTTCCTTACCCACTGAAATAATTGAGTTTCCTTACCCACTGAAATAATTGATTTACCTTACCCACTGAAATAATTGAGTTTCCTTACCCACTGAAATAATTGAGTTTCCTTACCCATTGAAATAAATGATTTACCTTACCCACTGAAATAATTGAGTTCCCTTACCCACTGAAATAATTGAGTTTCCTTACCCACTGAAATAAATGATTTACCTTACCCACTGAAATAATTGAGTTTCCTTACCCACTGAAATAAATGATTTACCTTACCCACTGAAATAATTTAGTTTCCTTTAACTCTTACCCCGAAAGCTTTGTTATAACTTTTATCAAGGATCACTATTTTGCTCGTGTATATATACAGAATTTTCAAGTAACCTTCAGCAAACGTTCTTACACAACTGAGTATATTACTTTACATTGTAGTTTGTTTATATTTGTAATATATAAATAGAAAGCCATAAGATGTTCTTTATTTACTATTACAATAGCAATATTTTTAATTGAAAGTAAGTTATTTGATTGAAAAGTTTAAATCTCGATCGAAGTAGTACTTGTACCATAGAGATGACAACGCTATAGAACTTACGACCTTGGCTTGAATCATCCGCGTTCTTTAAGCAGGGTGTAATGTTAGAAGTTGACCAGCAGACAAGCGGGAATTTGCATGAATTTACGTTGTGCTTAAATATTTGTATACGTACTTAAACAGAGCCATAACAACCAAATAGTCAGACGATATTCCGGATGTTTTCACAAATCGATCTCGGGCTGACAAAAAGTGTTTATTTGATTTTTATTTAATTATTTTAAAAAATACCGCAGTAAATATTGCAAAACCCAGTTGAATTTTATGCCAATTTTGATTTGATGTAGTGTTGCACTTTGATGTTGATTTTTTATTTACGTTTTTACTAATGAAGTACGTTGCATGTCTTGAATATTTAGTTCCGCTTTCAACAAATATTTCAACATCAACATGTTGCGTGAGAAACTATCATAAAACATGTTGTTTTTACAAGTTCTGGCGCTTTGCATCTTATCTGACAACAAAATGGCGAGAGCTGAGCCTTTCTATGCGTTAAAAATGTAACACTATTAACCTTAAGTATGCAGATTTTGAAAATGATATACGGGCCCACATTGTTAAAAATACATCTGAAGCAAACACGTATCCATCTAATCTTGTATGTAACGTGAATACGATACGAGTTTGCATGCTGGAGATATTTTATACATTTTTCTAACATATTTTCATTATCCTATATGACATTGGGACCTTAGTTCCCGAGACATTGCTACTTATTTAAAGTTCTTTTAAACATCCAGCGATCTTTAGACAATACAAAAATAAGCAAGGTTATTCACAATTTTCTTTGCTAAATCGCAAAACCTAGATGGCCTTCTGTTTTTGTTAGGGTTTTATTCTCGCAAGCCTATAGATTACCACTTAAAAATTAATTCAAATTGCGCTGTCATTCTTAATGTACCGAATTACAACTCCATTTATAAGCTTGCGTGTATATACTGTATAAAAATACCTCATTATAATACAGCTACGTATCATATCAAAACTTAATCTGTATTTCAACCATGAATAGACAAGGCCGAAAAAGAACACTGTATCATTTCTTTCAATATTTGTCAATGCGTTTGTGTTCAATGTCGATAATTCGGATTCGCAACAGCGACCCCCTAGAGGGTATCTATTCCTTTATTTTGATTTTATTCATTTACCATACGGTACCCAGATTAGTTTTCAAGGATTTTGAATAGCTTCTTTACTATTATTGAATAGTTTACAAACAATTATTGTTGTTATAAAGAATTTACCTTATTGAAAATATTTTAAATGATACTTTAATGGAATTAATATACTCCATTAAAATACATGTTTAGTCAATGTATAAAGGTTAGAATGTTCATTGTTAGGACTGAATGCGATTTTATAAAATAAGCCACAATTTTACCGTCTCATCCGTAATTTTATCATTTTTATTTTTATGTTCAATAGGCTTATATCCTTCGTTCACGTTATTTGATCCGGCAGGTTTTGACATTTAATGTATAAAATGACAGTAAAATGACATCTGCCTCGACCCATATTAGGTAACTTTATACCAAATTTTATATCAGAAGTATATCAAATGAAACCATGCTGTGTAAGAATTTAAAATATAATTTCAAAATAGATTTACAGCTTTATAATACAACGTTGAAAGAATGTCGTGTTCTATGTATGTAAGCTAGATTTTTCCTCAATGTCAATGATTCAACCAAACGTAGTTTGTTTAATTTTTTATTTAATAGAAGCCGAATAACGTAGCCAGAAAAATATCCGTAAATATTATGACTGTTCATTCAAATGTTCAAGATGGCCTTCTTTATTGCAACACCTCAGTGTTACAACATCCGTTGTCAACCGCCTCCTTAATCACCGAATGTACACAAATCAGTTTCCGGCGAGAACAACCCTGTTACTCGTGTTCAGATCCGCTGTTCTACATCGACTAAAGGTTCAAGTTACAAATAACAGCGATACATTCAGCAGCTCTAAAGATACAGTAGATTAACATGCCATCCATTGTGATTATACATGTTTTGGCCAAATATATCCAACCTCCAGTCAGACATTGAATGCTGTTGGAGTTTTTGACAGACCTGCCACTGTCCATGTAAACTTTTGTACTGTATTCGGCAGCAAACTTGTATTTTCAATGTTGAGCAACAGCTTTGTATAGATGGAAAATGAAAACAAATGATGAAATGACTGGTCGGCACATCTTCGAAGGACCGATGGTGACATTTCAACCTCTTGAATTCTCGGGTTCATCTTTGCGAATTCACAATTTCAACTTCATAGTTTCGCGATTTCAATAAACAGAATTCACGATTTCAACTTCATGAATAGATTTCAACTTAATGAATTCACGATTTCAACTTCACGAGTTCATCCTCGCGAAGTTGAAATCGCGAATTCTCAAAATTGAAATCCCAAAGTCCAAACTTGAATTCATTAAGATAAATTCGTGAAGTTGAAATCGTGAATTCATGAAGGTGAAATCGTGAATTCACAAAATTGAAATTTGAATGAAATTGAAATCGTGAATTCACAATGTTGCAATTTTGAATTCATGAAGTTGAAATCGTGAATTCTGTATATTAAAACCGTGAATCTACGAAGTCAAAATTGTGAATTCACGAAGATGAAATCGGGAATTCATGAAGTTGAAAAGTCCCCATCGGTCTTTCGTACACATCTGACTATTTTGATTTTCTTGCTCGACTCTAAATTTGCTTTTCATTCAATGCTTTACTCGGCCTGCTTGCGATTAGTGAATTACATGTACCTCATGATCAGCCGACACGGTTAATGATCTGCACAGTTCGTTATTCAGCCAGCACTTATTTTGAAATGTCAATGGTTTTGTCAAAATTGAAAGATGGACGAGTGGACTGAAGATATTTAGCATGGTCAAGGTCAAGATAAAGGGAGTCCTTGTAAACTGTATTCATGCGGAAACAATATATACATAGTAACAACCAGGTATTTAAGCACTTTCATACTACCTACTTCATATTGCTCTATGATATTTGCATATTAAATAACATATATAAACAGGTCTTTTAAGTGTAAAACATACAACTCTTTAAGAGCCGATTAGCGGAACACTTTGTTTAGGGAAAGATCACAGCTTTGCAGCTTTAACATGACAAGACAGGTAATAATCCCATAAAGATTTGCACCTATGGCTAACACATATCTCTGTTAAATTCAATTAACACTGACCGGTAAGAGGTGGAACAATCTCACTATTACATCGAGTACAGATAACAGTTTGGTTCATTTGGCAACAAACCATTATTAAGTGATGTTCTCCAGTTGTATGCCCCTCTAGTGACTACACAATGTCGATATAGTCAATGAAACCTTCAGCCATCGACCTTATAAATTTTAACTTCAAGTCTTACCACGCCGAATACCTTAAATGAACTCGTCCATCATTCAATATGCACTAAACAATTCCTCGTTTTAGGAATAATTTCAAACCATGAGGATGTGTCTGCTGTTCTTTATATGCACTGGTTGCATGGTTAGATCTAGTTGACGCCAGCAGGCTAAAGATTAAGGACCTAGGGTTACCAACAAACCGACAAACATGAGCAAGTGCCATATCTCACAAAATTTTCCAATAGTTATCATTTGTTCAGAATTCCGATTTAGAACATGAAAATGTCCTATAACTGACATGCCACACAGAGGCACTGTTTATCAGGCCCGGATAATATATATGGTCCTACTTATATAATACAAAGATAGTTTCTAATGAAAAATTGACTGGTTGTTTTGTCTCACCATCCCTTTTTCTCTGCTACAACTTCTAAAGAAGCAGCTTGCAATGCGGTCACATTAAACTGCGTCTTACTTTGTAACTTTGTGATACAATTGTACCTCATATCATGGAAAATACTTGCACGAAATTCACGCACACGCTGTATAATCTATTACAGGTCGTGGTGCTTTTTTTGACCACGCAAACTGCAGGGTTTGGATTTCTGCGACTTTGGTACCCTAATCTAATTGAGCGACGACTGGCCATTGGCAATGGAAATGTGAAGATTTTCGTGTATAATGAGATTCTATGTATGGAATGTGCTAAATGATATCATTTGAATAATTTTGTTAGCATCAATTAATATATTTGAGATAAAAACCTACAGGGAAATATTCATGTATTGCTTAAGCCAGTAGCCAAGAGGCTGTCTTGGGAATTGGGGTGTTGTAAAATGGGACAATATTTTTAATATCTTTGACACTTTCACGCCTTTTCAAGATGAATTAAGAAACCATTGGGACAAGGGTTAAAAATAGAAAACTATCTTATGCTGAATAGTTCACAATTTTTCACATTTAAATGAACACTGTATATAATACAAAAAAGTCTTCAGTGTAAATGAATTTACAAATACGAGATTCTTAAATAATCTCAACTCAACAAAATTAAATGCAATACAAAAACTTAGCAAACATTTTTTCATGACCACATTACACTTCCATGAACAAAATTAAATCAAAACTGTAAAGTTTAACAAAAGCTTAATTGCTTTTTAACTTATTAATATTCAAATTTATATGAAAATTTTAAATTTATTTCAACAAGGAAATTTTAAAATAATGCTTTAATTTTATTAATTTGATGACTTGATCATAAAATTTAAATATTTCTTATCTAACTACAAAATAATTTGGGCTTTATTTTTCCATAAATCTTGATTTTTTTAAAAGCAGCACAGAGGGTTTTGTGGTCAACTTAAATACAAGAATGTCTGCAAATTAAATGCAATTTTTATATATATACAAAATGCGAATTTCATGATCACAGTTCAAACGCAACAATGTCAACTTTAATATGACATTTATGTCGACATAATTTCAATAAACGTGTCCAACCTCTACACGTTGACATAATAAAATGAGCACTTACACGTATGTATGATTTTATGGACAAAATATCAATAAATGCAAAAAAAAATTAATAAAGTATAAAACGAAAAAAATTGTGTCATGGGGCTTTAAATTTTGGCAAACAGAGAATAGAAAACAATGTGTTTTAAACAAAAATAAAGAAAGATATTTGAGCAAGATTGAGCAAAGAGTGTACTTAGAAGGTGTATTAAGAGTAAACTATTAAAAAAAATAGTTCCCTACTTTTTCTAAAAAGTCAATTACTAATTTGTGTTAACATGCTTTAGTTACTAGAAATTCTACGAAGGTTTAATATCATTCCATTAAATGAATAAAATTTCAAATAATCAACTGCCATTTAATCTCTTTCTTAAAAAAAAGTTTTTAAAAAATGTATAAATATAAAATAATAACAAGAAATTAAAGAAAAATTAAATTGTTATTGACAATTTCATTATTAAAGCATTAGTATTAATTGTGCAACGTTATTATATGTTAGATTGTCAATGACTTCATAAATGTGAACAAATGGATGAAGAGGGGCAATAAGTGCAAAAAAAGGTCAGGGTGAAAAGTGTAACATGCTCCCAGCTTTATAATTCTGCTGCACTATTTCATATCATGATGCAAGTCTATTTTTAGCATCTATCAAGTCACAGGCTTACCCTAACTACCATATTTCAAGTCCCTTCACTGGCCATGTAGGATTGGATACGACTGTATCAACCAAGTCCGGTATTATAACATATATATTTGTGTCACTATCCCCCTCAATTACTCCACTATATACGTAATAACTATATGATATGAATACAAATTCTAAGCAATTATACAAATCAATTTGATTTGATGCTATTTATATCTATGAATCTGATTGGTTAATAAGGCTAATGTTAGGGGTCAAAGGTGCAATGATGAGAATGAATGATTGTGTTGCTGGTGGGAATGATTGCTCCTAAAACTGATGCCAATCAAGTTAGACAAAAGTTCGGCAAGCTGCAATTTCTACTGTTAGAAAAGACGTGCAAGGTGATGGGGTTATTTGGCTTTTTGTTATTATATCTACACCATATAGTGAAGATCTCACAGTTAATTAGTTAAAATAAATATAAACACCGCTGGAACCTGTCAACTTGGGTCCTCGTATACATGGATTAAGGGCGCTAGGTTTATAATCTCATTGTTATAATAAAACATGCAATTTTAAAAGACTGAATATAAAAACTGCAAATCGAGTACAATAGATCTACATTCCTTCCTTCACTAACTGTATAGGTAGCTAATTTCTAGCAACCCTTTTATAAGGATTTCAGAGTAGAATACTGTTAGAAATAGACCCAATTTGTTTGACAGGTTTTCTTTGTTGTCGTTGTTTTGTCTCTCTACTCGGTGTTAATTGTTACACAAGATGGGGTTAATCAAATCCAAAATGTTAGTACAACAAGGAAACTAAATGTTAGCAATTCAAACTTTATTGCTTGCTTTTATTTATTTAATATATGAAAAGAAAAAAAGATATCTATATCTGTACAACAAGAAAAAAATTTCCCCAAAAAATTCTGAATAACATTTTTGTAATACTTGTATAAAATGTAATAGAACAGTTTAAACAATATATCTTTTAAATAATTATCTTCTTTTGTGAGAATAAAATACTCTGTATGATGTCCATATACCTAAATTACATAATGTAAAATATAAAAAAAAACAATAATCAGTTTTCCAACACAGCCACTGAAAATTTCAACGAAACAAATACAAAATAACTTTTCCCATCCCACCCGATGCAACCTACACAGATATGGTAAAAAATGCAAAATCAAAGCTGGTTGTATTAAATAACTTGAGATTCAGGTAGTAAATAAAACCCCATTACAAGCATTAGTTTTATAATCTATCTACTGTGGCATCAGCATGAACTCTGAATTTAACCACCTTGACCATTGGTCAACAGATGAGTGATACACCTTAACCATTGGTCAGAAGATGAGTTTTACACCATTATGTTCCCTTGGTCAGTTGATCAAACTAAAGTTAGGATAAATACTCTACCACTCTGTATGCCAAAAAAAATCTTTTTTTTCAAAGAACGATCCGGGCACAAATATTAACACCATGATCCATCCCAAAATATGTTCCTAATTTCGTGATGTTTTCTACATGTACTTTCTTAAGATTTTTCTATTTCTTTTTCAATAATTAACTTTCCTGAATCATGACATGGTTATTTCTCTTACAACTCTTTGTTAAAAATGAATCTTTTACACTTGGAACCCGGCAATATCAGATCTTTTATATATAATAATGGAATTACAGATGTTCAATGCTGAGCCACTAAAATTTCATATTATTATATAGCAATGTTAAAATATCTCACAAAACATGTTAGTTAGTATGACCTGATCATATCACACATGAAAGCCATGAATACACTTCATCATGCAAGAAAAAAGCAGGTTAAGGCACTTTGTTTCTAACTCCTTTCTACAAAGTATTATTTACAAGTGTAGGAAATATAATTAATAATTTTCACAAAAAAAATCGTGAAAAAAAAATTCACATTTAAAGTACTGTACTTGACATAAAAAACGCCACTGAAACAAAATGTAGATATCAGCTAAAGTACCGTAATATGTCTAATACAATAGTTGAACCTACTACCCGTTCATTTTGTTCAATATTTAACATTCACATCTCTTCTTAATGAAACATTTAATGATCTTGTTTTTGTTTGTTTTGTTTTGTTATTATTTTTTTTTTTTCATTCACAAAATATGCATTAGAGGTATTTTGTACAAATATAGCAAGAATTTACAGAGTGCATGAAAGCCCATGTCCTACTGTTACATGTCAATGTAATAACTGTTATTTCATGTTAATATTTACAAAACATAGGTGGGAAATAATTCAAGGTTCCTCTCCACAAATCAATCTTAAACTACCTGTAAGTTGTTCATTGTCATAATCAATGCCATTCTTGAAAAAGAATAACACATCAAAATGATTGTAACGAAGATTTTAAAAAAATAACTATGTGTCTTAAAGTACAAAAAGTCACTATTTAGTCACTGTTTCAAATTGTTTTCATTTAACAATTGAGTTATTGTTGATAAAATGTGCGTCTTATTTACAAATATCATTTAAACATTTAAATTTATAAAAAGAAAAATACCCTTGCTAGAGCATAGATATAACAATGCTTTAACAATCATTGTATCTGTCAAGAATACAAAATTGTCCTATGAAATCATAAATTATATCATATTACAGAAAGTGTGAAAAAAAGGAACCTTGATGCATATATTTTAAGCAATTGTACAAAAAGCACATCAATTTTCTATGAGTATATTCACAGGTACTTACATCATAAATTAGGACATCTTTTGCATGGTCTATTTCATACATCATCATATCTAACTGCAGTATGGTGTAATTTTTTCGAAAACTTTCCAGGACAAAATATTTAACATAATATTGAGTATTCATTGAATCAATATATACAGATGGGGCAGAATAAATGAAATATTTGTTGAAATAAAAAGACCATGCCAAAAATATCCCCATGTATGATTATTATAAAAATTATGTAAACAAAAACGGTGGAAGAAGTTAGCAATGGAAGACTGTTTATCTCCTTGGTTGTACATGTTATAACAATATAATTATGTAAAATCTATCATTGCATAGATGCAGGGTTAATTTCTAGTACATGAAAATAGTGAGAGAAAAAAATATGTGAATTCCGAACAATACCACACAATGTAAATGACAAAAAAAAAATGTAAAGATAATCCTATCACAACTCCTTCAGGTCTATAAAAACTGATAAAATTGTATCTATGTAAACCTAATGCATGGATCAACCAAGCATTTTGCATATTAAGCAGCAAAGAAAAAATAATGGTGATATGTTTAAACAACAACTGGACGGTACAAAAGTTCACTTCCTTAGATATTGAAACGAAAAAAAAAAAGTTCTTAAAAAATAAATTTGTTCACAATGCAGCCATACAACCAGTGTACATATAGTACTAGTATTTAAATACAGTGACATGTGACACAGCCGACTGTAAAATGAACTCTCTTGTTCTAATGATATGCAAACATTTCCGACAGATAAAAAATGAGAAACCGACTGATGATGTAATTAACAAGTGCACTATTTACAAAAAAGGAAATCTCACTTACAAAATACTTGTGATCAGCTATATTGCAACATAATGGTGAGTAATTAAGTAAAATCGCTGAACTATCCTTCTCAATTATGCTTCCTATCCTTTATTTCTTTAAACCTTATTGAAAAAAAAAATCTGACCACAGTCTACTTATGTGTACAGACTAGTTCTCAAACTTCTAACAGAAATATTAACTGTAATACGCCCAGTCAAGACTGGTATGCAAGTGACTAATAAAATATTTTTTGTGACAAAGGTATGAGTATTATGCAATAAAGTAGAAAAGTCCAGTGAGTTAAGTTTTCTATATCATTAACAACAACAACAACATCAAAGAGTAGCTACATTTGAATATGTAAGCTAGCACTACGAGTTAATGTGACCCATACAAAACTAGCTCCACATGAGATTCATATATCTATACCCCTTTCCAACATAAATCAACAAAGTTATATGCCAATGTGCCCTCTTTCCAATTATATATCTTTTTTAAAATAGTGTTTTCACTTTTTGTGCAAACATCATCATTTTATAAAACCAAAGAACTTTAATTCTAATCATAATTTATAAATATCTTTCCTTTTCTGTTTTTTTTGTTTAATTTTGTTTTTGGCTTTTTCTTTCCATTTCATTTTTGTTCAAAATTATAAAAATATAAATGTTTTCACACAGATGTTGACTGATTTTCTTCTTCTTCTTTTTTATAATGAACACTGAATAAAGAATGTCATGACTTTCACAAATGTTTAAGACTCAGCATTATTAGAGTTATCAAATGACAAGCATGTTAACTTTGTATACATTTAACATCTTTGGTGTGTACTGTATCAGGAAAAGTCAACTTGTACATAAATTAATAACAAGAATGAATGTTTTTTTTTACTAATAGATTTTGTTTTTATTTCAACAGTTTTTTTTCACCCTCTTTTCAAAAAAGCATTAAAGAAATCTGTAATGACATAGCATTATTTTGTGATTCAAATGTCTTGACTTTGTAATATATATTGCTTTAAAAGTAAACCACTTTTGTGCTTTTTTACCAACATAAGTTTGGCGTTTAAATTTGATTTTTTTTATAATTTCTATATATGTAAAAGTTATCTTATCTTTACATCCAAATATTTCAGAGTTGTCTTTTCCTGATACAGCACATTAAATATCAAGGTGCACATTGAAAATTTACCTGGTTACAAACAAATACAAGTTAATACAAAAAAATCTTTGTTCATAAAACAGTAAAATGTTAACAAAGGCAATAATTCTTTAAATGTAGAAAATATATATAGAGTTTATATCTGAGTATTACAATGAAGTATCTACATGAAATCTCTTTAAATGAACATCTAATTACCTCCCTTTAAAATATAAATTTTGATATTTTGCAGCATATAAAACAGTTATTTTTTAGAGTATAAACTTTATGGAAATAAAATTATTATTATAGGATTCTGATATGGTACTACCTTTAACTTTTTATGCAAATAAACCATTAGGCAAAAATTACTGACTTGAAAAATAATCCATTCAGTCGTTTACCATTTAGTCATGAAATATGAAAAATAATATATATCGTTATTTCATTCACTACAGAGTTACATAATTTTAACTATAAACCAAATAACACTGGGCAAAATAATGTTAAAATGATAAACAATACATATTTTTTGTTATATGTCCCCTAATTTTTCCACAATTCCATAGGGGATATACTCATTCTTTACTCACAACCAAACGACACTTAAATGTGGGCATAAAATTCTGAGTTATGAATAAAAATTGTGGGCCACTTTGCCTAATGGTTAATCAATGACTCGAACATAATAAATGCAGTGCCCCCAACAATAAATCTCTCTAACAGGTATAATGTTAGTATATACAATATTAGTGACCAAGGCACAATAACAATGTAAATATATCTATTGGCACTTGTTTAAAATTGAATAATATAAAGTGTTATGAAAAAAAATCTCAATTAAGTACAAAATGTTTCTAACAAATAACAGCAGAGTTAATATAAGCCGGGCATGTAATAAACGTGCCCGGGGATACACAAATTTTAATACTCTTTAGGAAGACGGTTAGTGAGCAAAAGGCCAATCAGCTAACTGTGCACATGTTAATGTAGAAACTGACGACCCGTTGATGAGATTCCTACGCCTCGTCTCTCGGCAACACATTTCAAGGTCACTCTTTCTTAAGAAAGGATAACGGACTGTTCATATCAACAAGTTGTGGGCACATCATTTGCATAGCTTTGCTATACACTGGGACGTTGGGTTGAGTTGAAGTCTGCGCCCACGAGATGTTAGAAGGCAGCTGAAGATTAGTGAAATAAAGAGAAACGTTAGTCCAAATATTGGCTACAGTAAAGATTAAATTCATTATTCATAAATGCATTCTGGATTGGTCAAAAAGTAGCTAGGTCTTGTTATTTTTGGTCTGTTATACCCCAAAGACATCACTAAGTGTACTTGATTAAAGTGTGCAGAGTTTAAAAAGGTGTCAACCATGCTTCAGCAAAAAGAGACATGCTAAATGTAATTGTTAAATAATGACATTTTACCAAAACCTTTTGATTTTTTTCAGGTTTTTTTTTTTTTTTTTTTTTTGTCTTAGTAAATCAGACAAGTCCAAACTGTCGGTCCAAAACATATTGTCCCAAATTATATCATATGAATTCAGACAGCAATTTCATCGGTCTTTAGATCACTCTTGGCCTTTGATTTTCACTGTAACAATAATTTAATGTCCTTGCATAATGGAATGATATGTAGATTTTATTTTTTTAATAAATCTATAAAGCAGACATCCAATATTAGACAAAGAGCAAGACAAATCTATTTCTAATTGTACTTGCAAAAAATTTCTCAAACAGCAACCATTAGCTATCATCAAATATGTTTTAAATATATTAGAGGACGATAAAGCAGAATGAGGGGTCAAGGTGATAAAAAGGGGGCCAATGACTTGTCACATCTTTCCCTGCAAAATCTTATTCAAATCCTATATTAAGACTTGAAAATGTGAAGATGTTTTAAAAAGTTTTGAATTTTTACAATTTTAGAAAACAAATCTTATTATAGTCTTGTATCAAAGTCAAAGAGAAATGCATTTACGTTTCGACAAAAGCAAGTTCTAGACAGTCTTTCAAGTATAACACATTGTTGCAATCATAAAATTATGTTAGAAGGATTTTCTAAAGAAATAGTATAAGCCATTCTATGCAAAAAAAGTATATATTCTAAATATACACATATATATATATAAGTATTATAAACATGAACAAGATTGTTAGCAATATAATTATATTAGCTGTTAAAAAATCGTTTTGTCATTGTTGTTGTTGTTGTATAAAGTGGCTGGGAAAGATGGATGGTCATTGCCCACTGCACAAAGGATATATTTAGATCATTAGCAGCTTGGAAAATCCAACCTGTACTCAACTACAAGAATAATGGAAGATAGTTCTCAGCACAACTTTAATCCAAACACAGTTAGTAATGCCTCATTAGTAATATACATATATATAAATCCTAGTGAAATTATGTTTACTCAATACAGTGAGTAATTTTTTTTTTTTTGGTGATTCTTATTTTAAAATAAAAAGGAGATTAAAGAATGTTTTAGATAATCACTAACGATTAACTAGTGCATAACAAGATAGCAACGGTATAGATCGCTCTCAACACCTTTTTCAAAAACCGTGATATTAGGTAATAACAATGCAACATTCACTATAAACACCGCTTGACACACTAAGTAATGTGTGCTCAAACTTAGATAAAGCAGTTAACAAAAGGACAATTTGCTAAAAGGAGCTCGCTTCTTTTTAAAAAAAAAAATTTCAGACAAACTCGAATTACTTTTAACAAAGCTCCTTTACGCCAATGACCTTTTTCGAGTAGAAATACGTTAAGTCTGGTTGTATCTATTATTAGCACTATAGCTGCCATGACGAGATACATGGAAAGGCATATTCTATATATAGTAACAGAAATCACCCTTCACCCATTCTCGCATTATTAATCAAATTAATAAAACTATCTTAGCTACATAAGCCACCCATGACACAGGTGTATGATCTAATGTTTGTTAAAATTCTGTATTCTTGTTTCATTTTTGTGCAATTTAATTTATTACCTACATATTTGCCCTACTACTTCTTGAAATCATTCAACCAAAATATCAAATAAAGAAGGAAATTACGAAATTTTACTGCATCATTCTACATTATAAAGATTTTAATAACTCAATTATTATTCAAACGTTTTAACATTGAACAAATAAAAACTTTTAACTTTAGCTATGAGCTTCCTCATCAGAAAATGAAAATTACGACCTACTACGTAAAAACTTTGATTTGTCATCAAAATTCAAGCATATTTTTTCTTTTTCAGTTTCGTGTTTTTTTTTCAGTTTCGACATTTTTTTTACTACATTATATTTATCATAAAGATATAAATTGCATGTAAACTCGTTTAAATGAAGACTTTTATTATACACAGATTCATTCTTTTACCTGCATCTATTTACAATCACAGGGTAAAATAATCAAGTCTCCAACAGTTCTATGTGTGTTTTCTTTGATTTTATTTCTCTACTACCAGGACATAAAACAATCATTGCACAGTAACAAATAGTAAAATAACATGAAGAAAAAAATGTGTTTGCATGATTGAAATGAATTCTCCCGTTTCTCTTGTTTACTGTTGATTGTCACTTGATTAAATGTCGAATTTTTTTTTGAACACTTGTATAATGTATAAATGAATTACAATCTTTTCACTGAAAAATATTTTGGAAGACTCGGTTTTTTTGGTGTTTTTTTTTACTTTTCTACACTGATAAGATGAATATGTACACATTAAAATTCCTGCGACCAAATATCAACATATTTCACACTCTCAGTCTTACTCACTATATATAAACATAACAGATTCAAGCACTTTCATACTCAATAATACAAATGGGGTAAATTATTAAAAGGGAGATAATTTCCCAGAACTAAATCATAAAGGGAGAGAATCTTAAATTGTTCATATGTATATTACACAGGTATAACAAGACACTAAAATAATCAAAATGTAATCAAAGACAAATATCACATGTATCCCTTGAAAAAGGGACTTCAAATACACAATCTTTGTATAAAAATAAAATAATATTTGAAATATATTGTAAAAATGTTTGATATAAAAATATATAAAAAAAATTGCTGCAAAAAAAACTGAAAACAAAATCTGCTCTTTAAAATAAATGATTATATATTATGTCATCTGAACAACAAGAAAGTGAAAAGCAAATCTAAGATAAAAGAAAAGACTGTCATTAAGTATAAAAAAGATCTGTTACCATAGAAACAAAACTTTTTGTCTCTATGCTAACAGATCAGTTGTCAATGCTACATAATGAATTATGTACATGAAGATTTTTTGGCACTTACAAGAATATCTAGGTATTAAGGTCAGGTTATTATTGACTAGCATTGACTAGCATTTTTCATGAATAGTGCAAACTAATATTTTTCAAATAATAATTATTTTGATTATATTTTTTTTTATTTATTCAAACTATAAAATGTTCTTATTCTTCACCTTTGTCACAACGTTGTAACACTCTGCTCTAAGTAAACATACTGATCTTGAAGAAAAAAAAATGTTTTGGTTTTTTTCAAAAATTATTTACATATCTTATTTCTTACATGTTTCAATATTTGTTTCCCTTTTCATTAAGAGAAGCAAATATTCAGAAATCAACTTCAATTCACTTAACATTACTTAACACAACATTTAAATTATACTCCATGCATCAATGATGTGTAGTGCACTTTTCACTAGTATGACAAGTAAGTCAAGTATTTTAAGTGATCATGGTTACAATTAAGTGCATCTTGAATTAATACCTTATAAGAAGAAACATAAATATATTAAGACTGATTTACATTAGTGCACAACTGTGGGTAAAACATTTAGGATTACTTTTTTTCCAGTTAAAGGCACATTTTTAATGTACTCTACAAGAGTATAATCTTTAAATAGAGATTTTGTCCATTTTTAAACTTTACAATTACTTCATCTCAGGCAATTTGCAGATAATAATTTTTCAAAACAGTTTAGGTCTAAGCCATTCAACAAAAGACTTTTTAGAAAGTTAGTTGTAAATATTTTATAAATGTTGGTTACACATAAATGCACAGACTTAGGTCAATGTATTCTTTTGTAGTAATGTGTTGACATTGAAGATTTTGTATCAAGAAAGGATTAAACATGTACAAATACTGTACAAATTGATTATTTAGACAACTTTTACAACCAGGTCATTGTCCAGTTTGAAGGAAAAAAATAAACTTACATAAAACTTTTAACTTTTCATACACTATTTTAAAACTTATAATTTCAAACTTTCCTTGGCGACAAATTTGTTAACTGTTGGGGTTTATATTTTAACAATTAATATCCCTGGACTTAACAGTGAGTCAATTAAATTTAAATGTAAGACAAGATTATTTATCATTGCATGAATTTTACAAGAATAATTATGGGCTCCATAGCACACACTGACCAAACTTTAAATTAGTGTAACATGCTTGCTTGCAATACACATTACTTTACTATCCCCTATTTTTTTAACAGTTATTTTATTCTAAATATACATTGAAGGAATTATCTATTTTCTATGTTAGATTATCTATAAATACTGGAGACACAGTCTTTCTCCTATAATAGATTTGCAATTTTCACAATGTGTGACTGTCACAGTTAGTTTCCTATTGTCCAAAGCAGTCCCATCATATCAATTATTTAACACTTTAACTTGCTAATTGAAACACACTATAAAATAAAATGATTTTCCAAGAACAGGATATCTCACACAGTCATGAAACTACAGTAAAATATTGAACACATAATTATTTAAATAAGATTTTCTTTGATTAATCTAACTTGAAATGGAATATATTCCATTCACACATCCTCAATTTAATCAAAATTATTCTTTAATTGCATTTTACTTTCAGTATACTATTAATGTGTCAATTATGTCAACTATAAAACAGACTGGTCTACAGTATTTTCACTTTGTGTACCAGTCCGCTTCACTAATCTGTGGCAGTCACACTCCTTCAAGTTGGAACTCGGAACCAGTCCAACTTGAGGCCATCAATATAAAAACTAACCTTCCAAATTATGGAAGTGAAACCCTTACCCCGGCGTAAGGGTGCTCCCGCACTCCTGCAAGTGTTCTTCGGATTTTTGGGACTGCACCTAAAAATCGTCACAGCCAAGATATTAATAAGGCCTGTTACTATGGTAATAAAACAGCTAATTGTAAACATCAGTGCAAGAATAGTTAATCTGTACAAGAATCATATGAAAAGTGACCACAAACAGTCTGTAAACAGGGGAGAGCCATTTATTATAATTACATTATAATATAATTCGTCTTTTTTAATATCCACAACTTAGTGGTGACTTTTTTCTTCAACCTCCTTTTTCAAAACTAGGTCATCAATACATACAAATCACTCAAAATTTAACAATTTGCACATATTTTTCAACAGCTCTCGTTTGTTCACAGACTAAGTTTGCCATCACTTTAACCGAACACAGCTCCTTGAAAGGCCTATAGAGCCTTTTTATTCTTTAAAAAAAGGCCAAACTTCACTTGCTTTTCAATTTCTACATAATCACTACAGACTTTACAGACCATTAAAATATATATAAATAAACAATTAACAAAGACTTAACAAGTTTTTCAAATTGTCAACAACAGTTATTTATAGTCCTCGCCAAAAAAAAGGACTTTAATTGTTTTAAATAAATAAAGTTAACCCACCCTTAAAGGGTATAGGCTGGATGGTGTTAATTTGGGTTACATCAGACTAAACAGTGTTAACGAGTTATTATAACATATTTTTTTTTAATTTTTGCAATTTCGAATACAGTTTGTAGGGTGCTTAATTAAAGATAGTCAAGTATTAGGACAGCTGTTATAAGAAACATCGGTTCCTGAAACAATTTCAACAAGCTTGGAAAGTTTCTTGATAGAAAATTTTAAAATTTTGGACCAAAATATAATAAACCTTTTTAATAATTTCATTTGTATGGACAAATTCCTTTTATATAAAAATTTTGTTTCATTTGGAACAGCTACTTTCAATGTACTCGTATCTCGGAGCTTTGCAAACTTAATTAAGCTTCCAAAATAAAAGAAGACCAATGCATTCTTGGACTGTCAAAGCCATCAATATCAATTGAACAAGCAAGTATAGTATTAGTTTAGAAAGGCTCCTCGATACAGGGGGAGAAAAGTAGACAAAAACTTTATATTAAAATAATCACAACAAGCGGTCAGTATCATAGAAAATGTGACTGTACATAACATGAAAGGCCATTCAATCAATACAACCATATCATCTACCGTATTTCCAATAAAGTTTTTTTCAAATGTAATTTTGGCTTCTTGCACAATATATTCCGTACACGGGCTTCCAGAGCAATAGACAGCCAAAATGACCTAGAAAAAACTGAACGCCATGGAAGTTACCAATGATGGTAATGGATTGAATGCCTTAAGTGACGTGACAGTTCAGTTTTTTTTTTTTTTTTTTTTTTTTTTTTTAAATATTTTAATTTGTGACGTTAAAGAGATATTTAGATAAATATATTCAAGGTTGCTGCGCTGTGAAGTATAACTGCAAAATAAGCAACAAATTATTCACTACATACACAACATCATAAGAGGCCATTCTGAATTAACAACTCTTGTTTTTTTTTTCTTTTATCAATAATTTTTTTGTGTACACGCTTCCTGCCATTTGTCTTCAGACGAGTTTTTTCTTTAATGGAATATAACAAATTGTTTCAGACCATAAATGTAGCGATATCTTTTTTTTTATTTTTTTGTGACTATCAAAGCAATGCCTTGTTCAATTACATTGTACAAGAACCTAACTTTAATGGGTAAATTTAAAGAGCTCATAGAGTATATTGTTTAAAACCAACAGAATATTAATTCATTTGGCCTGGAAGCAGAAATATACGGTCAATAACATGTTAAACAATATATTCTAAGTAATAGAACGCCACCACCCATTGAAACATCGTTTTAATCCTAGTTATTTTATTAATCGGGAAAAAAAAAATATGTGAAAGTGTTAAACAGTATTCTGGGGGGTTACATGTAATTATTAATTATTATTATTTATTAATGTAAAGATACTGCATTTCCAAACTTTTAGTGAGCCACTGAGCCCCCCAGCATAAAAGGTTCTAGGGGGGAATGTTGCTACCTTAACGCAGATTTTTGACTGGGGAGAATTCTCATCTTTAGAGATAAAAGGCAACAATCTTCTCATATTTTACCTGCATAAATAAACAAAAGAAATCTTTACGTCACAATTTTCCTGACAGAGTATAAATTAATTGGGTGTATAAAATGGAACTCTTTTTATGTCACTGTCAATGAATAATCTATTTAGGAATAAAATGTCAAATGAAGGAAAATTTTAAACGGTATAAACAAAAAGAAATGCAGTTACGAAGAATGACTAACACTACTTTATAGACCATCACCGATAACTTAAAAAATAAAAATAAGTTTCAAAAATGTTGCAAAGGAAGACGAAAGCAGTTTTGTGTAGTTGAAATTTACCGGCATTGTAAAACAATTCTGATGGTATAAAGGAAAATACGTAAAAACAAAATACTGATAAAAAAAATACATCAACGTAAAATTACTGTTGGTATGTCAAAATATGGAATGTTTTAATGTAAATATATATATAAAAACAAAAACCTATTTACATTATAGTACAAAATAACCGAAAATAAAAATGCTGATTGTCAAAGAATAGGAATAAATGGGTAAAAAAATAATAATGGAATTGTCGAAATTTTCATGAAAAATCAAAGTAAATAATATAATAAACAAGTTTTTTTTTCCATAAATGGAGGGACAAAATATGAAAATAACAAAAAAAATATAAACAGTGAAGTTGGTTATAAAATAATGGCTATCTATGTTAGAATTTTATACAGTTTCAAACTATGCTTAAATTTATAACTTGAGCAATGTTTCGGTGTCTTTAATTATATCAGAAAAGATTATTACTATATCTAAGTTTATAGTTAATACATTAATATCATCATCAGATTAACAGATTTTTTATTGTAAGCTTATAAATAACTTCTTTGATGTAAATCTTGGCACATAACTTAATCTGAAATCAATATCTGCTCTATTTAAGTTAAACATAACAAAACGTAATTTTTTTAAACAAGTCATTTTAAGATTTTGTTTCTTTGTGTCATTGAAATTATCAGTTTTAATACTTCTGCGTAACCGATTTTAAAAGTACTGCCAAGTTTGAAAACAAAACATGTCCTTACAGATTTTCTACAGCAAAACTTAAAGAACAAACTTAATTGACAAAACATTTTATAAATGCAATGTTTTTTTCCCTAAATGCTTCATTTACTTTTAACATTAATTGTCATATGGCATGCAAGAATAGTTACAACTTTTGTCTCGGGGACTTATTATTAAAATTACATTTTTATTTTTGTTTGGTCATTATTGCATGTTACCGCGGCTTTTACATTGGTGGTCACCTAACAAATGACAGGGACATACCGGCGGTACTCTGGTCTAAAGACGGGTATTCCAGTATTGCTGTACCTGGCGCTAAGGAGAACGGGTACTCGTATGGATTATATACCAATCCCTGGTTCCCGGCTTCTGTCGGTGATACAAGTGGGGGTGGTCCACCGTTCAGGTAGGATGTTGCCTGGGCCTGTGATGTCTGCATACCTACTGGCATTCTAGGAGCTAGGATAATTGGGGCACCTGCTGGCGTTGGAGATCTCAACTGTGGGATGGCTGTCATTCCAGCTAATGGAGATGTGATGAATCTAGCGGCTTCTGTAATGTACAGTAATAATACATCAATTTCAAACATCTAATTTCATTTGGAAAATGATCATATAATTCTTAACAATAGCAAAATCCGTGATAACTTCTAGTAAAATAATATATTCAAGAACACATCAGTTTCACAATCTTCTATTGTAACTATTACATTGATAAATCATTTTAAAGCAACTTGTTCACATAAATACTCATTAATGTTATGGATAAATGTTCATAAACAAAATCTATAAGACAGTTAGTATTTCTCAAAATGCCAAATGATTCTAAACTTGTCTATACCAATTCTTTGCATTTTATGTCTTAACGTCTTAATATTTTTTATCTTTTAGCAATTTTAAACATTTATAAACATTTGTATACAAAACATCCTTATTTTCAAGATCTCTTTTCCTACACAATGTGGGCACAAGTTGCTTTAAAATTCCATCAGTAATTTAAAAAAAATCTATTTACTTATTGTATTATCTGAAATAAACTCTCATATACAGAATTGTTCATGCAAAGAAACTGTAACTATCAACTCTAACAAGTAACACAACTTCTATTAAAGCTGCAAACGAAAGGAATTTAACCAACAGGTTTCTAATCAGAAGGCTCTCAAAATTGCCGTGTCATTAAATTAACCCCAAATCAAGGTTATATGTTCATGGTAACCTAATCAAGAGTTTAACAAAAGCTGAAAATACTCTTAATTATTAGCACAACAGTAACTGGAAAAAGTGGATTTCAAATATGCACTATACCAAATTAGAGATATTTAATGATGTACAGAAATTACCCATAGGAAGTAGATAAATCAAGTGATCCGTCTTACTTTGAAATTTGGAAGTGTAGATAATAAATATGAAGTTTTTATTATGGAAACAGTATTAAAATTTGTCTGGACGCTGGAATTATCCAATCACCGTCACCAGAATTCAATCAGATTTAGAATATTCATCAAGTTTCCAAAATTATAGGAAATTTTGTTTTCTGAATATGCTTAAAAGATTCAGTATACATTTTTAAATACTGAAATATTACAAACTCAAAAGAATGCTCAAGTTACATTATATATCTCTTGACTGAATTAAGTGCATATTTATATATATTTAAAGCAGGAAAATTTCATAGAAACTTTTGATTATATTAATATAAGATTTAGATTTTAAATATTTGATGACAGTAAGGCAAATATTCATCATAAGTTTATTGTTAAATATATATTGTAATTTTTCCTTTTTCTTGCATAATCTTTAGAAATTTTCCTGCCCTTGTTTACTTTACATCACTTATACATCCTATACAATATAACAGGGTATAAAAGACCATCAACTCAATCAAATTACATGCTGTTTTAAACCATGCATATCAATTTCTCCATCTGTGTTTTAATATCTCATTACCCCATACCAGTTAATTATTTAATAATGCATTTTTGATATATACTTTATACCTAGCCAATAATCTTGCTAAAAGCATCCCTTTTACCCTCATGAGTTACTGCCAGACTTTATATAATAAATCTGACTTCATTTTTTTCCCCATTCACTTAATGTATTTCTCAATGGAGTCTCTACAAAACATCACTGCTTTTATGAAAATAGGGCTTGGGACAAAGAAGTTATTTTATGCTGTCAGACCATTTCCAGTATAAGAATACAAAAAATCACTTGCTGAATTTTAATGGAGGAAAAAAAAACATTAAGAATGTCTACAAGTTACATTGAAATGTCCTTTTTCTAATACAGTGGTTCAATTTTGGAAATAATTTGACCCAGTTAACGGATTCAGGCAGTTTTTCCCCCGACTGTAATTCAAAATCAAACAAACGCATGACTTTGCATTATGTTATCCATATTCAATTTTACTATGAAAAATATTTCATAATGTTGAATCCGGTTTTTATTCGAAATTTGCCATGTTAAACAACAAATAACAGGTTTATAAATCACATTGCATACTACAGTGCAATATAAATGCATGAAAATCACAAAATAGAAAGAAACAAGTCTACATTTAATGATTGTTGCCAATACTTTAAAAAATTTGTTCTTTTGATGTTTTCTTACAGAAATCTATTCATAGCTCAAGGAGGTAAAATATATATTTTATTTATAGATAGAAAAAGCTTAGAAGAGAAGGAATATTTGTACGAGACAGTTTTTGATTCTGTGAAAAGTGCCAGAAATTGTGTGCCACAGAAGTGAAGTGGGAAAACTAAGTTTGTTCGGAGCCATCTACTCACACCATTATACTCGGTATCACCGACAGTTGAATCTAAGCCTCGCTAGCAAAAAACAAGAAAAAGAAATATCCCATCAAGTTAATTAGACAATTATTCATTTTTTTAAACAAAACCTCACTTCTAACAACATTGTCACGTAGTGTTTAATGCATTTCCTGCATAAACTATTATGAACCATGTAAAAGATTTCTAGCAGCTTCTTTCATCATACGAAACTGATTAGTCGCAGTTTCAGTTAATTAAATTGCATAATTATATGTAAAGAAAAGAACTAAATTGGTAGAAATAATTTCTTGTAATGAAATATTTTTATAACCGCCCCAAACTGCAATGCAACTTAAAACTTAGATTCAACTGTGTATAATATATTACCAAATCATATTACCAATTCATACTCCTATGTGAAGGCATGGTAAATAGAGAAATTGTCTTTACTAAAGTAACATTATAACAAGTTATAAAATGCCAGAGCGTGAAATTATCATGTGTACATTTCAATTTATATATGACTGGTATAATTTTATCATTTTATATATTCTTAAAATAAACATAGACATTTCGACTACAAAAGCAGCGGAAAACTAAAGAAAGACAGGAAAAGAATTTATCTATAAACTATCTATGGAGAAAAAAATAACAATATTAAACGGAATAGAGGAATAAATAAATAATGTTACACTATAAAGTCCTATTGGAAAATACAAAGAATTACAATAGAATGGTATTTTACTTCAGGGTTATATGGAAGAATGAATACATATTAAAAATGTAGTTCTCTACAAAAATAGTATGTTTCTAATAAAAAATAAATAAAACTGATCACCCAGCAAATACAGAGATACAACTAATATCTAGACTATTGTAGTTTCAATCTATTATTCTTTACGTCTGCATCGAGAAAGTGCATCTTCAATATTTCCGCAAACAGCTGTTTTGTACGTTTACAGGTCCAATGTTGTTATTATCGACTAGAGATTATTAAGTTACCTGCATTAAACAATCTACCTTATATCTAACTCGTAAATTTTAAGCTATCCTCCAGTCAACATAACTGATGTCAATCTGTTTATTCAACCCCTTTTCCTGGGATCATTATTATCTCATTTCTTCATTAATTTCTCATTTTTATAATGCAAAAAAAAAATTTCACAGCAGTTGCACTTCTTAATGCAGACGCAAAATAACTGGAACCAGCAATAAAAAACAGGAATATAGTAAATCCATGCAGGGCGCCATCCAGCTATCAGCCAATAGAATAATGACAGGCTATAAATAGAACAGGGTGAAAAGCTCAACACTCCAAAACAGTTGCGTGCCGATATGTCAGCTTTGAGAGACTGACGATTACCGACACCGACTTACGAGTCGCCGATGCAGTCGTTGTTTGTGTGGAGGTGGGTTTCGATGTATCACGATATGTGCCATTTATAATAGCTAATTCCATGAGCTGACGTTTCTTTAAATCATCTTCCCCGTCCGGCTGAAAAACGTGAAGGTTATAACATTTTAAAACACACAAAAATGTTAATACAAACAAATATCAAAGTATTGGGTACGAGCACTTACGAGCAGCGGCCATTGTCATTGGGACTAAGAATTTATTATCACGGTAAGTTCCGTTTAGTATGGCAAGTTCCATAAGCTGCATCTTCTTCAACTCATCCTCACCTTCCGGCTGAAATATACACATTCTATTTATAGGTCGAGTCTAAAAATAAAACGTAATTCTGGACGAGTCTATAAATAAATCACGATTCTGTAATATTGTAGTATAATTTTCAAATCATTTCTTAATTGCTTATAGCAGTGTTTTAATCCCACAGTATGTTTCTCCAAAAATCATTAGGTGTGCTCTTTTTCCTCTATACCAAACCGAAATAAATCCAATTACATCTTGAAAGCAGAACAAAAAGCATTACCCCACCCATATAGTCCTGCTAATTAGATACATAACATGATTAATCTTCAAACAACTGAACCACTGCTACAATTTACTTATGAACTTTATAAAATGTACTTGCTTAATTTAATATATGGCTACATTAAAAATAAAACAGAAAATTTAAAGAAATAATCGTTCAGTCTTATCTTGAGTAAATGACCATCATTTTGTACCATATTAAAATTAAACCAAAATATTGGGATATTATAACACTTTTTTACCACACATATATGTATTTCATGGCATTTGGTTTTTTTGCAATCTGTCAAGCTGTGGCATATTTTGGAGAGAAAAAAAATCTCTTCACAAATTATTGTTATAATACACATTAATAAAGAAAAGCATGGTTTATTTATCACCTTGTCAGGCCTAGTAATGATGGACAACCTTGTCTTCATTGTTGACTGATTTCATTACTCATTTACATATATGGTAACTTAACTTATAAATACATTCTTCTTTTAACATCATAATATCAGCCAAGATATACATGATCTTACATTCTCTAAAAACATTCTTAATAATTTCAATTTACTAAATGTCAAAAAAAAAAAAAAAAAAAAAAAATCCTTCCATCTTTACATAACTCTAATAAAAGCTTGTTGTAACCACCACCTCAATTTACTAAATTCAGGTTTAAGCCTACATATCTAAGCTCAAAACAGCTCATGTGGTAAATTAAGTCAACAACCCACTGGCGTTACAATTAAATCTATAAATAGCAATCACCGATTCCATGATAGTCATGTGACTCAAATGTTCCAATCTGACCAATGAGAAAACTGGTGCTGATAAGCCATAATCTCCATACTAAATCATTTTACATGGCAAGACCCACATTTTTATAACCTTGTGTATGACGTTTTTTATAATATAAATTATATATTTAGTAACATATCTCAGATACAGTATTAAAATTATACTTGAGAATTTCATGCAATGTCGCTGCAGGGTAAACTGAATCTTTATTACTTAAATATAATCTATCGCAGCAGCTAGATGTAATACTGAAAGTTTAATCATGTTTTCCTAACAATTTGATCGTTATATTTTAAGAGAGACTTATTTTTGTGCAACATTATGGAGTATAAATTCAGCGTATATATTAAATATTATTCCTCTGAATCATCCTTTAATCATCAAACTGACTTCTAAAAATCGCAAATTTATTTAAAAACCTTCCAAACTCACAAAAATTATCAGTTCACAAAACCTAGTGATTTTACAGTCTACCTCTCATTTTCACAGACCATTAACTACTGTAGATTTATCATGCAAACTCACCTGATGTAAGTTTTTAATTATTCTAAAGAAATCTGTTATTTAAATTTCAGGCAACATTTATCAAAGGATTTTATTTTTATTACATTATTTAAGCATTATATTACAGTATATAAAGGTAACAGACAAGGAAGTTCTAAGGGAATTGAAGTGATTTCAGTGATGTCATAATTTAATGTTTAGACAGAACTAAGTTATCCCCCTTGAAATGGTAAAATTAATTGTAATAAATATATAGAACAACTTAATTAACTTAATGCATATAGCCATCAAAATGAAAATTAATTTCAGAATTTAAGTAGCAATTCTTTAAAGAGTCTTTAATATCGTGTATAGTAGGTAACTGGTATAAAAACAAGAGAACATGCCAAAAATTGATTCAAATAAAGTCAGTTAAGCTAAATATTTGATTTCTAATTGATTATCAATGATATAAACATGACAATAAGTCATTTAAGGTACTTCATAATGGCAATCAAAATTAGCGCTCAATTCATGTAAAAAACGAAGCCAAATTTGATGAAAATTCAAAAACTGCATTTTACAAGAAAAGAGTGAGTGCCTATCAACAGTTTGCCTTGTAATCTACATGTAATCAGTGGTGCTATCTACAATTTGATTGTGGTTGCCACATGGTTTCTAACATCATTTATCTTCCTGTTACTAGGGGGCGCTACATAATTTCATTAACTTTCTAGGAAAAAAACTACTCAAACAAAGTTCACAATATAACCAATAAGATTAATGACCCAAGGTTTCTCTTCTGTCAAATCGGAATTTTATCCAGAACAGAATAAAATAATCATGTTTTTGCTTTTTTCAACATCAACAGAAATGTATGCTCCTGACATCTATAAACAAAGAAATGACAGTTTCAATTTACAAGAGATCTGAGAGTTCTGTAAATAAGCAAATATGGGACGGAAAATATTCTCATTTTATTCCACTGAGCCATTGTGGTAAAAAGATCTGATGTGAATATACCACCAAATGTCAGCTCATCCATGCAGTCCAACCAGGCTTATGTTACGCTATTTAGCAATTTAATATTGAAATCTCTTTTGTTATTTAACAAAATAAAAGAAGACCAAATATATTGCACAAAATAAGGAAGGAACAACACCAAGAGCCTTCAATAACAGGGCTCTTGACTATTTTCAGCATTAATTTTGGCACAAAGAAAAGAGGTTCAACTCTGTAGAAAAGTAACTTACGATGTAAGAGTATCACAAAATTTTCAACCATGACTCCCTTCAACCAAAAGCAAGCAAAAACTTAACCAAAGTTTGACCCCTACACCCGGGTGAGTACATTATAGCTCAATCTATGCTTTAAATAATCAAGCCAATAAAAAAGCTTCCACAAACAAAATAAAAAATATTTGCATTGAAAACATCATTCTTCATATGTTTGTATCATAGAAACTCCCAAATCTCAAAAGTAAGATATTCTTTTTATTTTTGTGTAAAACATTGTAATTAATTCAAATAAAGTTGCCAGAGAAGTATTATTACTCAAATTAAATGTCATTGGCGTCCGCGCCGAAGCGCGGCGCTCTTATGGAATGAGATCAGATTTTGTGAAAGGGCGACAGCAACTTCTCGAGCCTTTTAGTCGGTCATAATAAAAGCCGAAAATTCCGATCGGTATGAGGGTGCTTGATTATTAAATAAGAATGAAATGTCGCGATATGTTACAATGAATTTTCGCAATGCAAACATTTACAAATGAAATAACCTTTTCCGTCAATAAATCGCGCTCTTCGGGGTTTTTTATTTATCATTTTGTCATGGTATGTTATTGTTGTACATGTATCCTAGAATGATCAGTTGATGACCTAAATATTCCAAAAACCTATTTATAGATATATCTTTTTATCACTCCTATCGGTAAATGCCGGTCTCTCCCGGTCTATTTTGACCAGGATTTACTAGTGACCGGCGAATAGTACCACACGTTATATTGTCCGGTCTCTCCCGGTTTTGGAGTAGATGTTTGATATCGTTACAATTAGAAAAAAACAACAATAGCATGTTTCATTTTATCTATATGAGATAAAAACAATAAATATGTACACGGATTTATATGTAATATAAATCCGTGATATGTACAATAATTGAGAAAAAGGTACATTTTTTATGGTATTAAAATGACATTATCAACTTTGAAACATTTTATTTAATTATTCAATTTGTTATCCGTGTTTAGTAAAGATGCCGAGGAATTATTCAAAGTTACAAATTAGATTTTATGAATTATTCAATTGATCGATAATTTAAAAAATGATAAAGAAAAATACAATGTACATGTACATGGTTTAAGAATAAACAATATTATGTATTGAAAGATAAACCATAATTTACTGACTTTTTCCAGTTAAGCTTTGACTTATAATCGTCGGTCAATATGACAATTGAATTCTTAAAATTTATTTTACAATTTTAATAAAAAAGAGTAGTAAAAAACTCAGTATTAAAATAGCACATAAACACAAAAAGAAATAAAAGAAAACAATATTCATAAAATTTGTATTTTTTTTAAATTTAAAATTCAAATAATTAAATATATTTATAATAAACAATTAGAGACTCCACGTAATGGATTCAAAAAAATTGGAACATTAGCCCAGATTTCAATATTTCTACAAGTACTTTAAAGTGATGAACAGGAAAACCTAATTTTTCCTAAATAGCGGAAATCATGTACATAATAAAGGACATTTGGTTGTGGACAGTGTTTGATATATTGGTTTGGCGACACATAGGTTAATAAATGAATGATACAAATTGTATATCCGTTGTATTAATTAACACAGTCCGAGGAAAATGAAAACCACGAATATTCAATACCCTCTTATCATTCAATCAATATTCATATATGAAACAATGTCCTTTTTCGTTCCGGTCACATAAATTATAACAAATTTCTATTATTCAAGAGAATTTATTATTGAGTCCAATTCATATGTCGTACTAGTTCATCTTCACTTGCTGCATTTCTTGCTTGGACGCCCTTTGATGCTTTGCATCAATGCTTTTCTTGTATCAAGATGGTAGGAGACGTTGGTGCCAGTTTTCGTAATGGATTAATGGAAAATTTGCAGGCAACATTGACAGAATTTAAATGAGGTTCTCACAAAGCTATCCTTGTCAAATAGATTTACGAAAACTAGAAGAAAAACACCAATTATTTCCTAAATGAATCCAGTCGGCAAAATCATACCCTTCAAGAATAATAAAGAGACTTTTGCGCTTTTG